TTCCCAATAAGTATTGCTTTCATTTGTTTTTAAATATGTTTTTTACTGGTTCACGTCGAATATCCTCAGGCAGTCTATTGAGAAAGTACGGTAGACGTTTCTTTAAAGTTCTATTCCCAAAGTAATTATTTACTTTACGTACTACAAATTTGCCTGCAGATATCGACCGTGTACCCTGACCATGCTTAACCAGTATTAGAGTACGCTCTGGACAGCTGTAATTAGTTTTAAACTTACTGGGAGTATTTTGCGGATTTTGAACAATTTTGTGTAATCACCTTTACGAATAGCTTTAGTTTTTTTACCAATGAAAAATATAAGCATTTTAAAGTAACAGAAGGAACTTTAAAGCTTAAATGATAAAATTTACTACAACCTTACTACAAATATAATCTACATGGCTAGACCACGAGAAGTTAGTATCAACTTTAACACCGAGGTAGGTTACACAATCGACTTTTTCGATAGGCTAACATCGACAACTATTGACACCATTATGGAGGCACTCAAAGTTTTATGAGTATACATTTGAGGAGAAGAGTCAGTAGGATACATATAAGGTAACTGAATGATAAGACATTTGGTTTTATCTGAGTTTAAGACGATACCATTATCATGGGACCATTTAACTACTGAATCTATATCCTGCTGTACTAGGTGACATACGCCAGAGTACGCTACATAGGCTGTATTAAATAGGCCCACACCCCGAACCTTGTGGCACCCCGCACCTCACCCCAGTCGCCTCACAACGTGTTACCAACCTTTACACGGACAATGCGTGATGCGAGATAGTCACGGAACCACTGGTTTAGCGGCTGTCCCACCCCACATTCGTCAATTCCATTTAAGTGTTTCTGTATATAAGGTATCAAATGCTTTTTTGAACTCGTAAAAATTAGAAACAACAAATTTTTTATCTTCTAAATATGAATTTATTTCATCAGTGAATTCTGATAATAATGTATTAATGCTTTTGCCCCTCTGAAAAACGTGCTAGCATTCATTAAATATGTTATTTTTTTGTAAATAAAACCCAAGTTGATTTGTTATGCATTTCGCGATAATTTTGTCAATACTTGATAATATAGCAATTGGTCTATTGTTTGAAAAACTTTTCGATCACCCTTTTTATGGACTGCATATTCGGCTATGATGCTTTACCGACATGTTAACTATATTAGCTTCGACGACTTAATTTGTCAACAATTAACTTTAAGATTGAGATCAGTTCCCGGCGAATTATTTTTATCTAATTGATTAATCACACGTTAGACTTCTCCACTAGTGACCGGTTGCCATCTCATACATACATCAGATCTATCAACGTAATCGTCCCCCACTAACCATTTTTCTGTACATGTGTTCCTTATAAGGTCGACTTCGCTTAAAAAGTTTTTTTTTTTTATAGAAGAGGGGGCAAACGAGCATGCGGCTCACCTGATGGTAAGTGACTACCGCCGCCCATGAACAACTGCAACACCAGGGAGGGAATTGCAGATGCGTTGCCGGCCTTTTAAAAAGGAGTACGCTCTTTTCTTGAAGGTCCCTAAGTCGTATCGGTCCGGAAAAATCGCTGATTGTAATCGATTCCACAAGAAAGTCGTGCGAGGAAGAAAACATCTTCTAAATCGCACAGTGGTGGACCGCCAATCATCCAGATGGTGTGGATGGTATCAGGAGTTCTGCCGCGATGTGCGTTCGTGAAATTTGGCGGCTGGGATTAATCCGAACAATTCCTCAGAGCACTCCCCGTGGTAGATGCGACAGAAAATGCAAAAGGATGGAACATCTCTTCGTAGTGCCAATGAATCGAGCCGATCGGAAAGGACTCGGTCGTCGACGATTCGAGCCGCTCCGCGCTGGATGCGGTCAAGTGGAAGGAGCTGGCACTGGGGAGCTCCTGCCCAGAGATGGGTACAGTATTCCATGTGAGGTCGAACCTGCGCCTTGTAAAGTTGCAGGCGGTGTGCTGGCATGAAATACTGTCCCGCTCTGCTGAGCACGCCAAGCTTTTTAGAGGCCAATTTGGCCTTCTCTTCCAAGTGACCACGGAATTGCACGTCACTCGATATGTCGACTCCGAGGATTCCGATTCTGGCAGAGGCAAGAAGGGGAGTGCCTTGAAACTGAGGATATACGACAAAGGGGTTCTTTTTAGCGGTAAACACGCAAACTTGTGTCTTCTGAGGATTAAACTGGACTAGATTTAGTCGCCCCCAATCCGAGATTGTGTTCAGCAAAGAATCGACTTCAGACACAAGTTTCTTCCGGTACTCGGCGACGTTTTCCAGAGAAATATGGCATGGTCAGTGTATAGAGCATCACCAGTGCTGTCATCCGCATAGCAATGAATGATACCAGTTAGCAACATATCATTGATATGCAGAAGAAACAGCGTTGGTGATAGCACACAGCCTTGTGGAACACCAGCGTTAATAGGCTTGTAGTCAGAGCATGCACCGTCTACAACGACCTTGATGCTCCGATCTGCAAGGAAGCTGGTGATCCAATCACACAATTTCTCGGGCCATAGAAGCCCATAAGAAGGGAACTTCGAAAGAAGCGCTTTGTGCCAAACCCGATCGAAGGTCTTCGCAATGTCCAAACTAACGGCCAACGCCTCCCCCTTCGACTCTACTGCCTCTGCCCATCTATGGGACAGGTAGACCAGAAGATCACCAGCTGATCGACCCCGACGAAAACCGTATTGGCGGTCACTAATCAGCTGGTGATCCTCAAGGTACCGCATGAGCTGGCAGTTAATAATGGATTCCATTATTTTGGAGAACAAGGAGGTGATCGCGATAGGCCTACAGTTGGACGGGTCTGAGCGATCGCCTTTTTTAGGGTTCGGGTGGACAAAAGCTGTCTTCCATGAATTCGGGACTACGCCTTGGGAGTAGGAGTACCGGAAAAGACGCGTTAGGACCGGTGCCAACTCCGGAGCACACGTCTTCAGCACAATTGGGGGGATTCCGTCAGGCCCACTCGACTTCTGGATGTCCAGGGTGAGCAGTGCTTTGCGAACCGAGCGCTGTGAGAACAGCACATCCGGTATGGAGCACTCACACCGCGGGATGGTCGGCGGTGTTTTCCCCCCGTCATCAAGAGTCGAGTTAGACGCAAAAAGGGAGCCTAAAAGGTCGGCTTTGTCTTTTGCGTCTTGGGCCAGTGAGTCGTCTTCCCTGTGCAGAGATGGTAGTGATGGCTTACAGAGATTCTCTTGGACAGCCTTGGCGAGAGACCAGAATGCACGGGTTCCCGAAGGAAGCCGAACTAGTTTCTCGCCAATTCTGCCTATGTGCTCTGACTTTGCCTTGGCAATAACTCCAAGTTACCAGTAAACTTATCACAAATTTCTTTTACACTGCCTTAGTTTCCCATATTAGAAATTATTAAGTCGTCAAGTGATTTTCTATCATTGCCTAATAAACTATTTATCTTATCCCATAATTTCTTTATAATTTTATTACAGTCTAGTATACTTTGTTTATCATATTCGATCTTACATTTAGAAATTGCCTTACTGCATTTATTCTTATATTATTTAGTGTAATTTAATCTCTTTATTATATTTTTTGGTTCATTGTTTAGGTTATTTGTTATAAGATTATAACAAATAACCTATCTCTTTTTAAAATCATCCTTTTTAAGTTTTCACTTATCCATCCGTCATTTCTAATACTTTTACTTACCCCTACAGTTTGCGATTTGTAACATTCGTTATATATATTTGTAAAAATACTAGAAAAAGCTTCGTACAACTCAACTGGACACTTAATATTCAACAAATCATAAAAATTTGTTAATAGTATTCTTTCTTAAAAAAAAAAACCCTACCCGTTAATCTTTTAATAAGACCGTCTTTTGTTTTTCCCTTGATATTTGTTTATTTTTGTTATATTTACTTTCCTTGCTGTACAATAAAGAGTATTGTGTTGTATTGTCCTAATTCATATCTCGACTTCTCGCCTGTTTCATCACATTTCCTCTTTCTGCCTGTATTTGTTGCCACATACCCTCTGTAGTTTATTGAACTCCCTTTGTTTTATATTTATTTCCTCATCACTATTCGAAAACACAGTTTATATATTTATACTATAGTTGCCTTCGTATATGCAAACCTTATTATTATTTCGCTCTAGTATCCCTGTCTTTTCATCTAGGAAGTAGTTATCATGATTGAAGTTTTCCTCAAGTAATTCCGTATCCTCTCTTAACTGACCAGTGATTTCTGAACACAATAAAAGTGGTAGGTAAGTACATAGTGAATTTATCACTATATACTTACAAATGTTACTGTGTGTTGACTCCTAAAATTATTTTTATCATGTTGTTTACACCACATCCCTTCCATCGCTAACACCGTTGGCGGTTGAAGTCGGAACACAAATGCTTTATGTGCATTTCTGCACATACGACTTTTCTAAACGGTCGAAATTCATATGGAATTTATTAGGATCGTTTCTAGTTCGAATATCGCAAAAAGGAAGTTTATCAACACATAGAGAACGAAACGGATGTTTAGCGCAAAAAGCAAAAAATATGAATATATGGAATTTGGCAGTCGCAGGGAAGATATTGAATATTAAATGTCGCGGTCACTTCGTTTTTTATTGGTCGTTTTGTCTGGCTAACAGAACACGTTTACAAAATACACCACGTTACATCGTTATTTTGTTTTGCTTCTACATCCAACAGTGGCATTGTGTAACTGGTGGGAATCGTTTGCTGATGAAAATCACTTCGCAACTGCGTTTTCAATTTAGTTACCTAGAATATGTTTATAATATAAAAGACATCGGCTTATAATCAATACTTGTACTAACACTAGGATCTAAAACAATGACAAACTAGAACACAAAGTCAATAAAGATTCCCATGAATGATACAAAGTCGTACTGCTGCTTGCACTTCACTCATTGCTTAAACTTCTGCTACATATTGAGAATGGATAAATAAAACCATAACTAGGTACGTATAACATTAGAATAAATATGCAGACAGGTAAGAAGACTGGACGGACGCACACTGGGAATGTGTCGAGAGATGAGAAACGCGCCGAATCTCAAGCTTTAGCATTCAAAGCTGATCAAGGGAGCATAATTAGTCACTCATCAGTGAATGCCTCATATCGGGTATGCGAATTTACTCCTTATTGCTGTCTTCTGACCATAAAAACGAACAACTTAATGGCGCGCTTCTTTTGGAATTTATTCAGAAAAAATAATACAGATATCAATAAAACTATAACTCGATGGTGGTCCAATTTAAATGTGAATAAAAATTACACCTACTCCTAAAATTGGGAAAATAGGAATATTTTTTTAAAATGTAAATATTATAAACGACGTCTTAGTTGTCACTTTGACGTTATTGTTGAGTCTACTCAAAAGAGTCAATTAAGAAAAAAGGAAAAACCTATGAAATTGCCGTTCTACAGTACTGGCCATGTAACGGTGCATCTGAATACACCCTTATAAACAATTATAATTAATTAAACTCAAATTGATAATAATATAGATATAATCTTAAATAGATAATAGTATATACATATATTCTAATTTTAAAATAAAAACAAATCAATTATTACATACTATACACGACACGACCACGAGTCGCTGTTGGGGCCATTCCTTGTTCATTTCTACCTGAAACTGCTTGAAGTTCGCAACGCGCGTGAGCCTAAACGAACGACCATTGAACTTGCTACCTACATTCAAAATTTTAATTATTCAAAGTGCAGTTGATGCCGTTGGGGTAAGTTCTTATTTATTTAACAATAGCAAATGTTGTAACTGTTCTGCTTAGTTCCTATCTCTTCTACTGAGCTGCGCTGAGGAACAGCGCTTGGACTTCGCCCCCTACGTCTGGCCAGTGATCCTCTTCCTAGAACCTTACTTTGTACGTGTGCGGAAGTAGGATAAATAAAAATGATTAACTATAAACGTTGACTTTTTTAAGAACCCACCTACTTCTGAACCACCTAACGGTACAGCCATTTCAAATTAAAATAATTTTTGTTTGGCTAAGAATTCTAATTATTTTAAAAACATAGAATTATTTTTTCAAAATTAGTCATTTGTTTATTGATAAGCGTTATGTTTTCATCGCATCTGAATAATTTTCCTCATCATGGATACGTTAAAAATTCGAGTAATTGTGGAATATGAGTACCGTCGTGGCAGCAACGCGGTACACGTTTACGGTGCGAATACTACAACGATTGTACCACCTGTTATTTGTGTTATGTCCGCTTCCGTTCTGGAAATTTCGACCTGAAAAATGAACCCCGTGGTCTCCTGAAAACTGGTCCACGGGGACGATTTAAAGGCGATTGTGGAAGCTGATAATACAATCTACGGCTGAATTAGCAGCAGCTTTCGATGTTAGCATCAAAACAATATCTGTCCATTTGCGTCAACTTGGCAAGGTAAAAAGGCGTGACAAATGGGGTGCCCCACAAACTCAATGATCGCCAGCGCAAAGTACGCGTAGAGCTGTGTCTTGCACTGCTCAACAGGCACACAAACGAAGGAATTTTGAACCGTATTGTTGGGTCCCACTGGGACGAAAAATGAGTTCTGTTTGACAATCGAAAGCACTTAGCAAGTTGGTTGTATCCTGGTTCAGCACCTAAACAATAAACTAAACGAAAACTTACCCCTAGAAAAGTGACAGTCACTGTTTGGTGGTCTAGCGCCGGTGTGATTCATCACAGCTTCGTACCAAACGAGATGAGCATTATTGCAGATGTGTACTGTGAGGAACTGAACACAATGATGAAAAAGCTCGCACCTCTCCAACCAGCTTTGCTCAATCGCTCGTCCCCGCTGAGACGACAACGCGCGACCTTATACTGCACAACAAGACGGTCTCCAAGTTACAAGAGTTGGGGTTGGAAGCTTTCCGTCATCTGCCGTACTCACAAGACCCTTGCGCCTACAGACTCCTTCCTACCTTTCCAGAATTTAGAGAACTTTCTGGCGGGAAAAAAATCAATACCCGAGAGGCAGTACACAAGATGCCTTTGAAGAATTTGTTGCCTCCCGTCCAGCTGATTTCTTCAAGAAGGGCATCATTAAACTGCAACTGCGTCGGCAAATATTCATCGATTGCATGAGTGATTATTTTAATTAATAAAAATAAAAAATATAAAAAAGTACGTTATCTTATTTCATAAAAACGGCATTTTCATAGGTAAAGACTAATACCATATTCATTCATACCATGCTTTTGAAATCAGGGCTTATTTTAGGGCTAATTCTTTGATACACATTGTCTTAGCACCGACGTCGGAATGCTGTTGCGTTTTTTTTTTTCATAATAACAACCTGAAGTTTTTATTTGAGATATGGATAAAAATTACCAAAATAATTTTTAAAACAACATTATCCAACAGAGCTCAGAGGCTGTACGCGATATAATGCAAACTAACAATGCGAAATCAATGCGGTGGAGCAACAGCGAGGAGACAATAGACAAAACTGATGGAGAGTCCAGTTATTCATCATTTAGTTCATCGTTCTTCAAAACTGAATTCGGCAGTGGGGCTCAAAGCAGTGACTCTAAAAAGGATTTCGGAAAAGAAGGAAAAAAGGTTAGCACAGCATTTTGTGATATAAAAATTAAAGAGCATTCTTTCACCGACTTCCAAAAAATAATGTTTTTCTTTCAGAATTTTTTTTTCAATGTATTTATTATGTTACCTCCAAGGTTAGTTAAACGACTCAATTGAGTTTTTATATACCTATAAAGTATATCTTATTGTAGTTCGCTAATAAATATTGAAGTCATTTTGTGTTCTCTACTCGTTATCGTTCATCCAAAATTTGGAAATTAAAGTGATGAATAAAAAATATTTTATATAATGCTATACGTATATACTAGTTAGCATCGCGAAAAGTTTTATAAAATACAATAAATAACATTTAAAAATTCTTACAGAGTGCATTCGATAACGGCCACGGATACTGGTCAGCATTCGAAACGGAACAGTTGAAAAACAGTGCTATAAGAAAAATGGAACCACCATGGATGGAACACGTGAGTATGCTATACTGTTAGGTGCAAATACTCACGAAAGTGCCCAGTGGAAGAATTAAAACATGACTTCCAATAAGAATTTATTCACCCCTTTGTTGTCGATATTCCACGCATTAAGACCACATGGTTTGCTTAGTCTCGTTTTTTTGATAGGATAAATATATAAATAATAAATATTTTATTTGCAAGAAACGTGGTAACAGGAGGTAGTTAATAAGTATAATGTAGCCGAACACATTTCACCGTTTGTGGTATGCTAATTATTAATATCATGCACAAAGTCAACGAATTAATTAATTTCCAGTATACAATAAATAATTATTATTATCAGTGAATGATCATGTCAAAATTAAATTAAATAGAAAATTACAATTTACAAAAATACTAAAATTTAAACATTATTTCATACGTTATGCCAAAATTTTAAAAGTATTGTCTACTTGTGTGCAAAGAAGTCTTTAACTATATAAAAAGAGTGCTGGATGAGCCATTTTTTTTAGGTGAGTTTTCATTCTCATTGTGGGTTTAGATTAGAGAGTTAATCTCTTTAGGTACCTTATTAAAAACTTTTATACACATTATGTAACAATTTTTTTTAAATAAAGCTGTCCTGCAGGCAGGCATTAACAATCTACTTGGGTCCCTTTTACCTATAATAGAATTGTCTCGAGCGCTATGAAATAAACACAGATTTTTTTTGACAAATATACACACCTCTAATATATATAATCCAGTCAGCGTTAGCAAATTATTATTTTTAAATAAAAGTCTACATGATTCCAGGGGCCCAACGTTACATAGAGCTCGTATACATTTCTTTTCACTGATAAATGCTTTGTTTATGTCAGTCGAGTTTCCCCATATCACACACATTCTATGTATCCGTAATATGCAGCTAGCGCAGCCTCTTTCCCAGCGATGCACTGTAACACACACTGTGATAGGGTGACAAACGAGCACACAGTCCACCTGATGGTAAGTGGTTGCTGAGGCCCATAGACATCTACATCTATCCTTGTTTACGAACCAAAATGCAGATGCGTTGGCACCCGTGAGGACTAAGATGGAACGCCTCATTTCCAGTAAAAAGGATCTCCGGTTCTCTACACTCACCATTCGAAACAGCAGTGTTAAGCTGCTATTTTACGCTGGTATTCTGTGGGATCGTTGTCAAGCGCTGGTTTATAATATGTTTATAATCTGTATTGAATAAAAATATTATATTATTATTCAATTTTATTCTGCCACTTCAACTACCCGTATACATTCCATGGCTGCACATGAAACACTACCACAATTGAAAGGAATTGCTGCAATCGTCACGCTTAGCAAGTGAATTGGTGATATACGTCTCACTTTTCTGATACTGTCCCAATCGCCAGTATGTTTATTTTCATTAATAATACACCATTTATCAGAGTCTGTGAAGCCTTCCTGCAAGTTCCCATTGTCAAGATCGACGAAAAGAGAATGTATAATATTATCAGTTAGTTTGCATCTATTGCTTTCGAAAGATAGGTTCTCCTGAAGATTAAAAATCTTCTGAAGAACTGGTCTGTTTAAAAATATTCTTTAAAATTAAAAATTAAATTTTTAGTCTGTATTATCCATACACCAGCTTTTCCCCCAAATTTTAAACGTACTTGCACGCGATTCGTCCTGCTGGGCGAGGCTATGGCGACTGACTATAAACAGAAAATCCATCAAAAAGTATCACAGACCGCTGATAAAGAATTAAGTACTCTTTGCATCATAGTCGACCCGACAAAAATGCTAAGTAATGCTGACCAGCAAGCGAATTGCTAGAAATATCTATTTTCAGTAGTGGACTAAGAGTAGCTTTTGTAAACTGGTTCAAGATGAATTTGTTCCTGAACATGATTTTGTTTATAATAACATATTTGTTTAAGGTTTGTGTTACTTCGGAATTGATCTATAAATATCAGATTCTTACAAAGAGCATGGATGAAGTACTGTCGGGTGACAAACATAAAATAAAAACCCTTGAACAGGTACACATATTCATTATTTTTATATATTTTATATTTTGTATATTAGTAATAATGCAAGGTTGGGAAGTTTTTTCCTGCTGCATGGATAGTGTAACAAGTCCATTGTTGCTTTCTATTTCATGAGTTAGACAGTCCAACTAGGTAAGTTCAACATCGATAGATCGGTCAAGAAGTCGTTCAACTGACCCAACTCTGCTTGGCAACGGTCGGGGACTACGGCACAAAATCTCTTCACATATCCATCTAATCCCTAAAACAAGAGTGTACAACCAATGCGTGTTGCCACTGAAGGCATATTGAACTGACAAGTGGCCCTGCACTGACGGGCATATGAGGAAGTTAAATCGCTCACGAGCTCTGTAGGTCTAACTAACTCCGAACATACCCTTCTCTATATAAGGGTATATTTTTAATTTCTCTACATTTCAGAATCCGTAACCATGATATCCGCAGCAGTACCAGAGTAACCAATATAGACTAACGGATGAGAAAGCTGAAGTGGCAATGATCACTTTCTTCTCAATCAGTTATAGCTCAACGAACCTACAACCGATGGGGAAGAAAGGTTAATGCATCGTACCGGAAAACGAAGCCTTTGGCGGCCGTTCTCTAGATGGACTGACGACCTGGTTCGATATGCAGGAAGTTGATGGATTAAGGACTGTAGCTAGCTAGTTTCAAAAATAGGCATCCATTCGTCTCAACCGTACGTGTTGAAACGCCTGCATCTTTTTTCTGATCAACGAGTCAAACAACGTACTCGTAGCAATTACGTCAATCATCACCATCATCATCATTACAGCCCTTCACAAGTCCACTGCTGAACATAGGCCTCCCCCCAAGAATGCCACAAAGCACGGTCCTAGGCCACCTGCATTCATCGACTTCCTGCATATCTTATCAGGTCGTAAGTCCATCTAGTGTGGGGACGCCCTACACTTCGGCTGCCGGTACGAGGCCGCCACTCGAGAACCTTTTTCCCCATCGGTTGTCGGTTCTTCGAGCTATATCGTCGGCCTATTGCCACTTCAGCTTACTAATACGTTGGGCTATGTCGGTCACTCTGGTTCTACTGCGGATATCTTCATTTCTAAGTTTATCACGCAGAGAAACTCCGAGCATAGCCCTCTCCATAGCTCGCTGAGCGACCTGGAGCTTCCTTATCCGGCCAGCAGTGAAGGACCACGTCTCAGTTCCATAGGTCATCACTGGCAACACGCACTGGTTGTACATTCTCGTTTTCAAGTTTTGAGGTATACCTGACGAGAAGATGTGTCGTAATTTCCCAAACGCTGCCCAACCGAGTTAAATCCGTTGATTGACCTCTCGATCGAAGTTGGACTTACCTAGTCGGACTATTTGTCCCAGGTAAACATACTCGTCAACAACTTCGTGCTTAGTGCTCCCAACAACTACCGGCATAGGTGTGACATGGACATTAAACATGATCTTTGTTTTGTTGATGTTCATCGTAAGACCTATCCATTGGGAAACACTATTAAGGTGATTCAGCATAGTGCTTAGGTCCTCCTGCGATTCTGCCATAAGGCCATTCGGCAAATCGAAGGTGAGTGATGTACTCGCTATTGATGTTAATACCTAATACCTAATTATGTCAATACAAAAATTATTAACGTAATCGTTAATAATTTTAAGCACAGGTTCCTTGTTTTTGCAATATTATATTCATTTCTAAACTGTTATAAGGTTCATAAAGTTGCATTATTTGAAAATACCCATAAACTCCGAAAAGTGTTATATTAAAATAACGCTTATGTAGTGAACTCTGAGGTCTAATTTAAACTGAAGTGACAAACGAAGTCTAATGGTAAATGTCTATTGCAACTTTAAACAAATTGGCACCTCTGAGGAGCAAAATGGAATGCCTCACAGCCTGTAATTCAGATAGCCTGTAATACTAGCTCTCAATAATCTTCAGATCGGAATACAGAAGTATACGGACGCCCAGGTAGAATAGGACACGGCCAGACTCGCCTAGAATACACAAATTGTAATAACACATAAAGCAATGTTTTTTTTCTAACTTCCAGCCATCATTGGTGAATGAGCAGTTAAGTCAGCTTTATTTGGACCTTCAGTTGGAAGGCGTCGCAGCAAGATTGACACTTGAAGAGGGCATTACCAGTTCAAGTAGTTCTGGTGAAGAGTCTATTGCCAGAGCATCAAAGGTAAAAGTAAATACCGTTTTCAATACAAACTGTCGAAATTACTATTAAAGAAATTAATTTGTTTTCGTGCCTTTGGTCACTTACGTATGTATTTGGTTTAAAAAGAAGAGAATCAGGTAGGATTCGGCAGTTGTGGTATACGGTAAGTCACTGTGGTAAGTCCCGAAAAAGCTCATGACTTCGTTAACGCCTGACGTAAAATACCCAGAACGGTGACGGTTAAGGGAAGCAGCTTTAAAAAATGCAAGACGTCTGGTACTATGAATGACAGTTTGCACGAATTTTTCTGCCAACAGGGCGACGCCACTTAAAATGAGTTGTAATGTTTGACAGATTTTATAGCTGGGAGGTAATTTTTTTAGAAAAATATAAAGATTAAAGTTTCTTTCTGTACTATTTGTTATACTTTATATTAATTAGATTAAACCAAACCACCACAAAAGTGAAAAATGAAAAAAAGATTTAAAAATGTGCAAACAATTAAAGAGCAAACCACTGAGGCATTGTTTTGTGTATTATATATAAATTTTTATTTGAAACTAACTTCTCAATTAAATGACATTGTGTAACAAAAAACTTCACCTCTGTCAACTAGCGACATCTGGTGAACGGAAGATTATTAGGCCTCATTAAGGCAAACCTTAAGCCTCATTAAGAGTTTTAGGAATTCATATAAAAGTGGAATGGATTATTAGCGATGAGCTTCATTTCACTAGAGCAGTGATAGTTGTAAGTGTATTTTGTGGTATAATGTAAAGTGAGACGGCAGCGCCACAAATGTTGCTGTCCGAAAGAGTCCTTGTTCGTTTTTTTGGTATCCAATGATTGGTGCAAGCAGCATACCTACATATCGTACCTACCAACATACATGTAGACTGAAATAAAAGTAAAAAGTAATGCTACAGCCCACTATACAGCCCAGCTTATCAAAGTTTTTGGAACAATTAGACTTACCGCGTTGCTTCTGCGCGTGTTGGTGGACTTCACATGTTCTCGAAATATATTATTCTTTAGACATGCAGGTTTCCTCACGATAATTCTCCTGCTTGTGCAAATCAGCAATTAGAATTGCAATAAACAATTTCATTGGTGTCGGCTAGGATCATACGCGAGTTGCACGACGTTTTGACTTTATGAAATTGACGACAAGCGACTAGCCCCTGAGCAACCTTAGCTCTTTTTAACCATTATACAATGGATAAAAATGTATGTGCGCGTACTGGACCCATTAAAAGTTGTCTATCAGTTTATGTGACATTTAAACATTTTTAAATAGGTAACATTATCTGCCAGTTAAGCTGTAGAGGTCATTTTGTGATTTAACTTGTCTTCTGAGTTGATTACCATATTTTGTATAATTAAAGTCTATTTTTACATGGTTAACAATTTAAATATTTTAGGGCCATAGAAAGAAGCGGGAGTACAGCAAATTGATGATGATATACGAAGAGAACGCACCACTTCCACCTCCAGACACACCATCCGAGACATCAACCTCTTAATGTTAACATCATGGCATGCCTCTATTATCTACAGATTCTTATATACTATTCAAGATCTTATTTTATATATTTTATGTTACCGTGCATAATCGGTAGAGAGAGTGCATTAGAGTTATATAATACAGTAATAATTACGTTCATATTGGAATAATGTTTATTATTACAAGTATATACTTATTTGAAAGTTGTTGAAATTTCATAATTTCTTTATTTTTAAGTTGATATTAAGTAATACTCACAGTATTGTATGTTAGTTTTAGGAGGTTTTGTTCAATTTGGTTTTTCTGAAAACCTCGGTATATTATTTGTATTAATTTTGTTTTATATTTATGTCTATATTTATAACTTAAAATAATTTTGTGTCTAATTATTAGTTATTAGTTATATAATATATTATAACGTATAGATGGTTATAAAATATTTTTACTTTATATATTTTTGTCTAAATATTTACTGTGTATTTATTGGCTATGTCTTCTTAGCTTGGAACAAAAATCCAATGCAAAGATAAATTTAAAAAAAATCTTAAATCTGATTTTATAAGTGCAACTACGTCTAATAGTCATGCATAAAGATGTAAGTAGTAATTAACGAACAACCATACGTATTAAGAGAAGGATTTGTTAGCATTATTGTAATTCGACCTGAATTAGGTTTTATTTTTATGTGATATTCGAACAAAGGAGAAAGAAAACGTTTTTGCCTAGATGTATGATAAATTCAGGTTACCTACTAGAACGTATCTGTATGAATTAAGAAAGATAATTGAAATGTCAAAGAAAAAGGCCCTTATTAAATAAGTCAATAGAATTTAGCGCTTCATAAATTATTTATATCATGAGGATTGAACCAAGAAGTCAAAACCATGGGTTTTGTTTAGTTTTATGCTTATGTAATGTGACATGAAATTTTTAACATACGGTCATTATTAATACCGGTAAGTGATGCAATATAGATTTAATAAGAGTTACTAAGAGTCCACTTAAATATCATTCAAAATTTAATGATTCAATTTATTGACAAGGGTAATGAATGATAAGCAAAAAAATATTTGTGTTAAAAATGTGTTTTGTAATAATACAAATTTATTGAAGATTCTCTAAAAATTGTATTATAAAACAATACAAATTTAAATCAATGAAGTTCAATCCTTATTATATGATGTGTTTTGTTCGAAGATATATATTTTACCATGTAGTTTCCTTCATTTTACTGCTAGTTAACACGCATTTGTTTAGAGTATTTTTTTGTGATGTCCACACTGAACCTGGTAACCATGTAACTTATCTAGCAATGTCATTAGTTTTAAAGATATATTTTCATAACTCTACATGTGTGGAATACAAAGAATAGGGTAGGGTGATGTGTATATATCTTCGAACAAAACACGTCATATAATAAGGATTGAACTTTACTTGGCAAGTTCCTTTAGACGTAACGTACATTTGTCCGCACCGTACGCATCGTACGCGCCGTACGCGCCTTTGTTTTACTGATGGCCTCGCACATTTGCCCGTACGCATCACCCGCGCCGTACGCAAATCTTTTGTATTACCAACAACTTTGGTAGTTTTTTCCAACCACAGGTGTCAAACGGTGCAGTGAAATTGATCGCTCGAAATCACTATGGAAAGAAATATACTAATAGTCTCCTCATTGGCAGAGGAAGAAGAAAATAAAATTCAAAGAAAAAGAAGATTCTGGATTCATAATATTAATTTAAAAAATTAATTGTGTGGAGAATATGAAAGGGATATACTTTATTTAAAGACTTATTACACGATGATGAACGATTTTTTAGATATTTGCATTTAACATACATGAAATTTCTAGAATAGCTACATATACTAAAAGCATATCTTTCTATGGAAAACTCAAGATTTAAAAGGCAATTTGAATCAGAAAAGACTTTTGTTTAAGGTAAGTATTTTAATGATAATTAAGTAATTAGGTATAATTGGGTTTTCGAATTGAATTTAACAATTTTTTTATTTCAGTATTTAAATAATTTATCATTAAGAATTCATATTAATAATCGATGCAAAAAGAAAATCAATTTATTTATAATTAATTACGAATTAATTAAAAGTTATAAAAATACAAAAATTATCACGTAAGTTGAAATCACCAGTTATAGTGGAAAATCGTTGTCAACATTAGACAGCACTGAGTATCAGCACGCGCCGCGTTATATGACGTCATCAGCATGCGTCCTTCAATATTCGGATACTTACCGCATTTTATAAAAGTCGGCGCGTACGGTGCGGGTGTAATGTGCGAGATTTCATATGATTTCATACAACGAATCCTAAAATTCGGCGCGTACGGCGCGGACAAATGTGCGTTCAGCTTAATCTCTTATAATATTTCTGTGTTTTGTTCTCGATATATATAAAATATATAAAACATATAGGTATTCAGACACCAGTAGAGTTATGAAAACTATTTATTATTCATTATTTTGTATCTATTACAAAGTAATATAATCATCATCATCATCATTACAGCCCTTCACAAGTCCACTGCTGAACATAGTCCTCCCCCAAGGAGTGCCACAAAGCACGGTCCTGAGCCACATGCATCTATCGACTTCTTGCATGTCTCACCAGATCGTCACTCCATCTAGTGGGGGGTCGCCCTACACTTGGCATATCGGTATGAGGCTGCCACTCGAAAACCTTTCTTCCCCATCGGTTGTCGGTTCTTCGGGCTATATGGCCTGCCTACTGCTACTTCAGCTTACTAATCCGCCGGGTTATGTCGGTTGCTCTGGTTCTACTGCGGATATCCTCATTTCTAAGTTTATCACGCAGAGAAACCCCGAGCATAGCCCTCTCCATAGCTCGCTGAGCGACCTTGGGCTTCCTCATACGGCCAGCAGTGAAAAACCACGTCTCAGATCCGTAAGTCATCACTGGCAAAACGCACTGGTTGTACAATTTCGTTTAAAGGTATTGAGGTATGTCTGACGAGAAGATGTGTCGTAGTTTCCCGAACGCTGCCCAGCCGAGTTGAATCCGTCGATTGACCTCTCGGTCGAAGTTGGACTTACCTAGTCGGACTATTTGTCCCAGGTAAACATACTCATCAACAACTTCGAGCTTAGTGCTCCCAACAACTACCGGCATAGGTGTGACATGGACATTAAACATGATCTTTGTTTTGTCCATGTTCATCTTAAAACCTATACGTTGGGAGACACTATTGAGGTCATTGAGCATGGTGCTTAGTTCCTCCAGCGATTCTGCCATAAGGACTATATCGTCGGCAAATCGAAGGTGAGTGATGTCCTCGCCATTGATGTTAATACCTTATCCTTTCCAGTCCAGAGGCTTGAAAACGTCTTCCGATGCAGCGGTGAAGAGTTTCGGGGATATAACGTTACCCTGTCTTACACCTCTCTGCAATTGGATAGGTTTCGTATTCTGGTTCTGTGCTCGGATAGCCATCGTAGATCTACTGTACAAACACTTCAGCACTTCGATATACCGATAGTCAACGTGGCACCGCTGAAGGGACTGCAGCACCGTCCAAATTTCGACGGAGTCAAAGGCTTTCTCATAGTCCACATACGCAAGGCAAAGTGGCACATTATACTCCTCTGTCTTCTGTACAATCTGCCGCAGGGTATGTATGTGGTCCATGGTACTAAAGCCTTTTCGGAAACCGGCTTGTTCGGGAGGCTGGAAGTCGTCAAGTCTGCGTGCGAGACGATTAGTAATGACTCTCGAAAACAGCACGTAGACGCGGCTCAGAAGGGAAATCGGTCTGTAGTTCTTCAAGAGAGCGTTGTTAACTTTCTTGAAGAACAAGACCACCGCACTTCTGATCCATGCCTCCAGAGTAGTGCCACCATGGAGGACGGAATTAAAGAGCTTCTGAAGGACTTCAAGTACCGGTTTTCCACCCACTTTCAAAAGCTCCGCTGTAATTTCATCCTCGCCCGGGGACTTGCCGTTTTTAAGGTGCTGGAGAGCCATTCTAATCTCGCTCAGACTGACGTCCGGGATATAAGACTCGCTCTTGGATCGTTACTCACACTTGCGTGTGGCTCCAACGATGACGTGTACAGCTGCCCATAGAACCTCTCAATCTCACTCAAAATCTCAGGTGTCCCGGAAACGATGCTGCCACACTCCATCTTCAGCTTTGACAGTTGGCTCTTTCTGGCAGACAGATCTCTGGCAAAGACTTTGGAGCCTTGGTTCCGCTCGATCGCTTCTTCAATACAAGCTGTATTGAAGTTGCGCATGTCCCGCCGCATGCATTTGGAGATCTGTCTATTCAGTTGCCTGTATGCTGTCAAATCTGTTGAAGAATGTAGCTTCATCTCCCGTCTAACATGTGTGATCGGAGAGTTTTTGTGTTCTTCTGCAGTGGGTCTTGCAGAACTTAGCTCCAACCGGATGGACAGTTTCCACGAGCTTGTCATTTATATCGTCCGCTTCATTGCAGTCTTCTAGGCACTGAAAACGATTTTGTAACTCGAGCTGAAAGGTTTCGGGACTTTGGAACAGAGTACGAGGGGGACGGAGCGTTGACTTAATTAGACGAGACCTCTCCAACTTAACGTTTAGGTTCAGTGTGCCTCTAACCATTCGGTGATCGCTACCAGTTTTCACCCTCGCGATCACGGAGACATCACTGAACAGTTGTCGTCTGGTCGTCATAATGAAGTCAATCTCATTTTTTGTCGAACCGTCGGGGCTCGACCAGGTCGCTTCAGGAAGAAAGGATTCATCATAAAGAGTCCCTCTTTCTCCATTAAGTCGGCCAGCTGCTGGCCCCTTGGGTTCCGTTGCCCTATTCCAAATTTCCCTACTTTCAGCTCACAGTTCTCTCTTGTGCCTAGTTTTGCATTGAAGTCTCCCCTTAACACCGTATAGTGGGTTTTGGAGGAATGCATGACGCTGGAGATATCCTCATACATTTCCTCCACCTCCAAATTGGGATGTGCCGAGGTTGGTGCCTAAACCTGTATGACCTTCAGCGAATACCGT